CCCCACCCCCCACCCCCAGCCCCCGTTTCCCTTAATCTAGTTACTACTCTATAGATTTACCTGTGCTGGATTTCATAGAAAGAAAATAAAAAATCCAACAACAAAATAAAGCACAGAAAAACCTCAAGAGAAATCACAAGATAAGAAGTGGTTCTCATACAAAATTAATAATAAAAGTTATTTTGAGTTCTAACTAGTTAACGTTTTAGACATTAAACTTTAGAATGATGACTTATGTTCCTAGGACCCATGATTATAAATTGTTTGATATCAGGTAAGTTCCCAGAATGACTTTTATTTAAGAAGTTCAGAAAACGTAAATTAAGTAGTGTGACTATGTGATGAAAATAACAGATCTGAGAATATTTACCAAGATATCATTTAGAAGCATACTGACAACATTTTAAAGTACATCCATAAGTCACTTCAAATTAAATTCCCATTAAGGGGAAAAAAAATTCAGTGTCTTCTGCAAAATCTCAGACTTACCCATTTCATAATGGGAGCCCAGAAAAAAACTGTCCTGGGACCTGGAAAAAACAGAAAAGAAAAATTCAGGATAAAGTCGAGTATTTCATACATGTCATTTAACAACCATCACATTTCAAAGAACCAAAGGTTTATCAATGACTCTCTAACCATTCTGCTATGCTTTCTGCGTATTTTGCCTGTAAATCAGCATGAAATTAAAGGCTGCACCATATCACAGTATCATTCCTTCACATATTTTTGTGGCCTGTTAAGAAATAGCTAGCCTGTAATGGAGAGGGTTTGGGAAACCAGTCCCAGTGCTTTCCTAGAGCACGACACTGGTTGTTACTTCAGTCATGCTATTAGCCAAGCTGAGAAGTTGACAATTCAGTGGTATGGACCGATTCACTAATTTTATACTACAGAGTTCTATCAATGATATCTCACGATATATGTTCTGATAAAAATCCTTGTAAAATTTTTTATATATTCCAGTAAAAAGATTTATTGAACCAAACCTGAAGATTGACACAAGAGGAAAACCTAGATGATAAATTCCTTAATAAGCAGGGTCCTTGTTTTAGTAATTCTGGCATCTAAAGAGTCTGGATTGCGCAGAGGGTTAAGCAGTGGGCCGCTAACAGAACCCACTAGCAGCTCTGTGGGAGAAAGATGTGGCAGTCTGCTTCCAAAAGACTGCAGCCTTGGAAACCTGATGGGACAGTGTACTCTGTCCTACAGGCTCACTGAGTTGGACTAGACTCCAAGGCAGCGGGTTTGGTACCACCTACCAGCTTATACGATCTTGAGCTCTGCACATTGTCTGCAGCCATGGAGAATAAATGAACCCCTGAAACTATTGCTGTAAGGTAATTCTTAAGTTGTAATCTAAAAACATCCCCTGAAAGTCTTCTTAAGACTAATTAATACTCAGTGCCTTTGAGTCAATGCTGACTTATAGCAACCATAACAAAACAGGGTATAACCACCCCTGTGAATTTTGGAGACTGCTTCCAGGAGTAGAAAACTCCTGTCTTTCTCCATAGGAGTGCCTGGTTGTTTTGAACTGCCACCTTACAGATCACAGCTCAACACATAATGACTTCACCACCGGGCTCCAAAACAAAATAACAGCTGAGCTTCCTTAGTAAAGAATGTCTGCCTTGCGCATTGTGCTCTTTCAAGAACTATCTCTATGGGATCAAACTGACCACAGCACTAGCAAGAATGGTGAGCTAACTTGGGGGAAGTGAGAGCAGGTTAGTGGAGGAAGCTTAACTCCGAGGCTGAGGGAGATGATTGCACAGCATTAAGAATGTAATTGATGCCACCGAACCGTACATGTACACACAACATGTACAGTGTACAGTCTCAACACAATGGAAAGAGAAAATAACCCTAGTATTTATTTCATTAACGAGGCCCAGAGGCCTATGTGTCAGTCAGGGAGCTCACAAGCAGCACACCATGACTAGGATGTAAGTCTCCCAATTCTTAAAGGACTGCTTCATCTAACAGCATATTCTGCCTACTTTTGACTTTCTCAATCATACATCTCTTTTAACCTTGAAAGGAGGGGAGATAAAGAGACTGTAACTAAGTAGGTTAAGTCTAGCAGATATCAGGGTTACTTAGCATGCTGTGCATGTTTTCATACCTCAAAGTAACAAAATATATTTATCTCAAACAAAATTACATAATAGTGATTTATACGCAAAGTATAACACATTTATTTCTCTTTCGGGTACTCGCAATCAAGAGTTCTTACTAGTACCAAGCACATTTATTCAATAGTAAGTGCTGAACAAAAAGTATGTTTCTCACTAATAGCAAAGTGTGTTTTCAAATGCTTAAATAATATTTAAAAGATAAAACTGAGTTAGATCTATTACTTAGAAACAACACAGAACAAAGACAGTGAAGTAGAAACAACACTGAGCTAACACCGTATTATGGGTCTCATTTGTGGCAGAAAAGACCATTCACAGAACCCTGTTACGTACCACATGCATTAGTGTACCAGTGTGGGGGGAGGTCAGATGCACAGGCATTCCCTCCCTTGAAGGCAATCAGTTGCCAGACTGCTGTCTCTTCCCACCACAGGGGTGGGCCTGCTCCCTGCCTCT